AGCCAGATTGGGCGAATGGGTGGGAAATCGAAAGAGGTTTGGTGGTCGAGTGAAGAAGACGCTCATAGTGCACATACATATATTCAACTCAACTGTGAGAATCCATTAAATGCGTCATTATGAAAGGTAACATATATATGATAATTAACTTCTAAACACATATAAGTATATAAATTATATAATTTGGAAAGATTAATTAATATAAAATGTGATTTTACAGCTTATTTGTTTCTCAAGTCGAAGAAACATTCCCGTATATCCACAAGTGAAGTAGACAAAAGGAAAGATCAACACTTTATTAAGTGGTTGAAGAAGCAGGTATTAACTAAAACTCTTAGTTTTTGCAGGTTGATCGATCAAAGTTTTTTTCATACATGATGATCTGTATTTCAACGATCTCTTTATTTTTGCAGGTTGATTATGACGAAGATGCAGGTTACGATATGTGGTTTTACGAAGTTCAAGCTCCACTTGCAAAGGTCACCACATCACATATGTATTTCACACGAGGCTATAGTTTTCATACATATGAGTATGGTAGACAGCGGGCGACCAGTAACTATGGAGTATGTGTGAAAGGTGAAACAAAATTTCTACGGGATCTTGTAGGAGATTATTGAAGTGGAATTCCCAGAGGTATTGAAGCTGAAATGCATCCTCTTCAAATGTGAATGGTTCGACCCCGTCGTCAACAGAGGTGTTCGTTTTAACAAATTCGGTGTAGTTGATGTCAACGGTGGACGAAGGTACAACAAATTGTTTTTTTTTGGCATACATGATCTGAATGATTAATTCCTCTTTTGTCTTTATTTTTGCAGGTACAACAAATTAGAGCCGTTCATCTTAGCTTCATAAGCAGACCAATTTAGCTTCCTTCCATAACCTTAGATGAGAGAATCGGGAATAAATGGGTTAGCCGTGATCAAAGTCACACCTCGTGGACGAATCATCAGTGGAGAAGAACCATCATTGGAAGAAGAACAGAGAAATGAGGTCGAGGAACCTGAACAACAAATTGATGACATCCTTCTCACTGATCCACATAATCATGAGTACGAAGATCTTACCGATGATGCCACGGATGAAAATGTGGAAGACGAGTTTAAGGAAAATGATGATGTTTCTAGTGATAATGAGAATCTCGATGTATCCGATTGATTTATTTGTTTTTTCAGACTTAATGCATATGATTTAATCATGAAAATCTATATATATAATTTGATTTTGTGTAAAGTAATGGAGGGGGGTTTAATTTGAATTAGTAAGAAGAGATTGAGATTATAAGTTAAGGAATTGTGGTTTTATAATTTGGAGTTTGGAATAGAAAGAAGAGATAGAAGTAGAAGAGATGTGAGGTAGAAGATAAGGAAGAAGAGGTTTGAGGTTTCGGGTTTCGGATTTAGGGATTTAAACATAATCCTCGTTAGTTACTCGTAATATAACAAGGAACTTACGACGAAAATTTAAAATAATGAACACGAGACTCGTTAAATCCACGTAAGCATAATTCGTCGTAAAGTCGACGTAATGAAAAAACGCGGGCCTCGCTATTTCCACGTAAGCTGCAGTCGTCATAATTTCCACGTAAGCAGAATTCGTCGTAAAGTAGACGTAAATAAAAACATGGGCCTTTCTAATTCATCGTAAACAAAAATGTAGCCTTTTTATTTCGTCATAAAGTTACGAGGAAATAACGAGGCCCACTAATTTCTATATATACATTCGACCAGATCACTTCCATTTCGTCCCCATTTCCTCTCCATTTCCTCTCTTGGTTCAAACAATGGTATGTTCTCTCTATTTCCTCTCTAATTTGATTAGTTTAGGGTTTAGGATTTAGGGTAGATTAGGTGATTAGTGTAGGAAATTTAGATAGGTTTACGAATTTTATGTTAATTAGTGTTGATCAGGTGGTTAATGTTGGAAATTTAAGATAGATTTATAAAATTTATTAACTATATAATTTGTTAATTATTGTTGAGCTTAATTTTTAAAATTATTTTTTTTCCAGGTTCGGAAGAAAAAACTTACTTCCCATTACAGAGAGATGTTTGGTGAGCCTGGTAGTCGTTTAGACCCATCTTCTTCAGCTCCCGGTTCTTCGGGTCCTGCGGAGACTGTCCCCAAGACTCAGTCTTCTGGTGCTCTTCCGATTCCTCCTCATGTTCTTCCTCATGTGCCTCCTCCTGTGCCTCCTCCGATGTCTCCTCCAGCCGGGATTCATCCGGATTTTCTGGTGCCGCCGAGTGCTCCTTACTCGCAGTACACTGTTGAGGACCTTCTCACTCAGCCAGGCAGAGAAGGTTTACCAGTCATAGATCCTGACTGACCGGATGGAACTTTGTGGTATGTTACATCTTTTAAATTTTTTTTTATAAATTCTTTTCTAACACTAATAAATAAATCGTACTTTAAATTTTTTCTTTTTTCAGGTTTGGGGTTGACGGATGTCTTTCTCGGAGCGTAACTGAGACGATCAAAGGTTACTTTCCCGGTTCACATTCGAACTGGAAATCCACGCTGCTCTACGTCAAAAAGATGTGGTTCAAAATGTTTACTGTAAGTTACTATTAATTAATTATATATACTTTATTTTTTTTTGAATTTTTTAAAACTAATTCTTAAATTTTTTTTTGTTACAGCAAAAATACCATTGGTCCTTAGGGGTCAACGAGCGGGTGAAGAACCAGTTCAAATCGAAGGCGCAAAAGCGCTTGTTGGACACAGTTTGCAACTAGAAGGGTGATTGGATCGTGAAGGGGTATTAGCGTGGCAAACCCACTGCGCTCACCACGGAGGTGTGGGATGGCCTCATTCATTATTGGCGGGATCCTGACGCCATAAAAGTCACCGAATCTTGCTCTAGCTCCCGTCTGATGGTAGTCGAGGACGGCAACGGCCCGATGTTTCACTCTTCGGGTCAAACACCCCATGCCGGGGTCCGTCTGAAGATGGTAATTAAATTTTTAATTTAATTATTTTTTATTTATATATTTCTAACTTTTTTAAATATTTTTTTAGGCCAAAGAGACATGAGTTCTCCCGTCTCTTTTGGATCTTTATGAGAGGACCCACATGAACAAGGCGGGCCAATTTCTAGATGCTATGTCTGAGCATCTCTTCAATGACTTAGTTAGTCGGGATGAAGATCGCCAGACTCAGCTGACACAGCAGTCTACTGATGGATCACCCGTCACCTTATCCACACTTGAAGTGGATAGGATTTACGAAGAGGTAATTTTTAAGTTTAACCTTTCACTAACAATTTTTGTTTTTGTTTTTAAGGCTGTCCCCAATAAAAAAGAACTTACGTTGGGAATTGGTTCCGTCAACAATGTTCCGAGAGAGATATCGTCTTATGGTCATATTCGGGAAGATGAAGTGACTCAGCTTCGTAACGAGTTAGACTCGACCCAACGTGCGTTCACAGCTCGTATGGGTGGACTCGAGGGCTTCTTGGACGTTATAGCGCCTACAAATCCGGAACAGGAGTCCTTGTTGAGGAACATGCGACCGCAAAATCCCATTCCAGGCGAGTCATCCGGAACACATGACGAGGCGGATCTTGAGAGGAGGAGTCAAGAATTCTACCGGGAGGCGATGGACTCTTAGTTTTTTTCATTTTCGTTGGAAGTATAATTTAAAACTTATTTATGTATAAAATATTTTTCTATTGATTTTTATTTTAATTTATATTTTAATTAATATTTTAAATTAGTTTTTTCATTTTTTTTTAAATTCTAGAAAATAAAAACCGAAGTAAATTTGTAGTTAAATTACGAGTACTTTACGTGGAAACGTTACGACGAAGTAACGAGGAAGAATTTACGTCAAAATTACGAGTAACCATTGACGAGTAATTTACGTGTAATTTACGACGAATACATTACGTGGTATTTACGACGAAAGTTTACGTGAATTTTACAACGAATACTTTACGTCCTTTTTACGACAAAATTATTGCCTCGCTAGTTTACGACGAATTAGCGAGGAAACATGTGTTACGACAGACGATTAACGACGAAACATGTTTCCTCGCTAATTCGTCGTGAAACCTCATTTATGACGAGCTTACTACGAATTTCGCCGTCGTTAATCTTTTGTTTTCATGTAGTGGTTATATTATACAAATAGATATATATCTATAAATACATATAGAGTTTTATATGTATAATTTATATAATTATTATTTTAACATATCATTTTATTAATTTTGTTTAAAATTTACTGATAATATCTTTACAATATCTACAATTTTCTAAAATTTGTGTTTTATAAGAAAATTTGATTAACTTTAAAATTTTATGAAACATATAGTTTCATCATTTTTATTATGTAAAAAACTTTTCAAAAAATTTCTATAGTTTTTTATCTAATATTTACTTGTATTAAACAAAGTAATGATATGTCCGTAAATATTCACAAATATCCAATTTTTTGTTGGACATCCATATTTCTTCGAAACAAAATAAATCAGAAATCAGATACAGTAAAATACAAAACAAATTACAAATACTGAAAATTATGGTGTTATTCGATCCGTACCCAATCTCTAGGCACAATCACGGATCGAAATTTTTTTTTTCATAAACATTTTGTTTTACCGGGTCAAGCCTCTCTAGCAACAACAAAATGTAAATATCACTCAATTAAAAACAAACAAACAAAAAACTAACCAAATATTAAAATGTGCGCTTAAAAGAAAGTTGATTATAAAAATTTCTCAATTTAGTTTTACCTTCACCAGAACATCCCATATATATAAACTAAACATTTTTCGCCTAACCGAGTGAAAAAGAGAGACAAACTAATCAAACCAATTTAAGTTCTAAACCGGAACGTACTAAAATATACACTTAAAATGTCCATTGATATTCTGAAAAGCTTTTTCAACTCTTTGGTCGAATAGTCGTCATATTTGCTACGTGTAAACTTGATAACTTTTTTTTCTCTCTCACTTTATATATCTCTCTAAAACTTAAAGAGACGGAAGGTTCACTCACACAAAAAGTTTGAAAAACAAAAAAAAAAGACATCAAAGGTTTTAGAGAAGTGAGAAAAATTTGTAGGCTGTAGACATGGAGAAGTATGAGATGGTGAAGGATTTGGGATTTGGTAATTTCGGATTGGCTCGGCTTATGCGTAATAAAAAAACAAACGAGCTTGTGGCTGTCAAATTCATAGATAGAGGATACAAGGTGGTTCTTAATTTTCTTCTTTTGTACTTTTACTCTTGATATGTTCTTGATATCAGAAATATTCATAAAAATGATTTTTTGATGCAGATAGACGAGAACGTTGCAAGAGAAATCATCAATCATGGATCTCTCAATCATCCCAACATTGTTCGGTTTAAAGAGGCAAGATAAATATATATTCTTGTTTTTAATCAAGAATTAAATCTTATGTTAATTTGTTGTCCTTAACTCGAATCTTTTGGTTGATATATAGTTAACAAATAATATTATGTTTGACTCTTAATTCGGTTTCTCCCCAAATTCGAATCTTGGACGAACGGGTCCATTGATATATTCGATATGGCATACTGAACCCACAATTACTGAGAAGCTACAAAACATATGGCATTTGGTGCTAATCAAACTTTAAACTTGGTGTGAGTTGATGATTTAGGTTGTCTTAACTCCGACACATCTTGGAATTGTAATGGAATATGCAGCTGGAGGAGAACTGTTCGATCGGATATCAAGCGCAGGTCGATTCAGCGAAGCTGAGGTTTTTGCATAAATGAATTGTGTCAACTATACACGCTATATATTTTTTAGCTAACATGAATTTATAATTTTTATAACCATTTGTTCTACTTGCAGGCTAGATATTTCTTTCAACAACTCATTTGCGGAGTGCATTACTTACATGCAATGGTAAAGTTAATTTTAATACATATATACCATTAAATTGTATATAATATATTTGTGTTATGTGTTTTATTGATGAACCAAATTAATTTTGCAGCAAATATGCCATAGAGATCTGAAACTAGAAAACATTTTGCTTGATGGAAGTCCAGCACCCCGACTAAAAATTTGTGATTTTGGCTACTCAAAGGTTGTTTTCTTGATCATTCAAAGTTTTCGGCTTTTATAACTTACAATTAATTTCCAAATGCTTAACAATTTTTTTCATCAGTCTTCTATTCTGCATTCAAACCCTAAATCAACGGTGGGGACTCCGGCATATATAGCACCGGAAGTTTTCGGTCGTTCGGAATATGACGGGAAGGTAATCAAATTATTGTCATAAATTTCATATTCTTAGTAATTAGTAATGAAGATATTTACAGGTCTGAATTCCACTCTCAATAGTTAATTTTCATTGAATTCCACTTTCAATAGTTTATAAAACAATAAAAGATAGAAAAGAGTAGTAAACGACAAATTAAGCTTCATAATTTCCACTCACATGACAACTATTACTAATCTTATAGGATACTATTTGTTTTCTTGTCGCCATCATATAGGATAAACATACTATATAGTTTCGACTTTATCCCATATCTATTCAAATCAAATGGCCATTCTCCAATAAATTTGGCAAACGTCACTATACCCATTATTCAACTTAACATATCTGTTTTCGGAAATTACGTGCATAACTCTTGGTGGTGTGACCTTTTAAATCCATTGCTAAGAGGACGCTTGTCCATTTCGGAGAAACCGAGCAAACTTTATTATTATTTTTTGTTATTTAAATTCTGTAAAAGTTTCCAAAAAGTTTCTTTGAGAATTAATTAATAATATATTTGATTAAATAACTTTTTAACTGAAATCACTACTATGAATCTATGATGAACCAATGGGGACTAAGTTTAGTGTTTAAGTTGCTTATTGTTCTAAAAGAAAGAAAATGAAATCCGAGGTTGTTTGATATTATATTTCGACATACAGTCAGTTGATGTGTGGTCTATTAGCCATACCAGGCCCATGACGTTAACCCAAGAGAAGCCCACTACGGTTGGTCATGAAGCCCACACGCAGACAACGACAAAGCCTGCATCTTCAACCTCCTCTGCAGCTGGAAACACCAACACACGACGAAAGCATGATACGACCACAACGGTCTCCTTTCCAGCTCATTGTTGTGTCACCACAAATAGATTCGATNCAGTGAGTAAATCCTGAGCCATGGCCGATCCACATGAACAAATCACTTCACCTGCGCTAAGCATCTCTCATTGTGTTACTCTCAAGCTTTCATCCACTAACTATCTGTTGTGGAAAACTCAGTTTGAGTCTTTTCTCTCTAGTCAGTCTCTCCTTGGCTTCATCAATGGCACCTCTCTTCGTCCTCATCCGACTGTTACTATTCGACGCGGAGAAGTTGATGTTGAAGAAGCTAACCCTGAGTTTGTTCGTTGGGTTCGTAAGGATCAACTAGTCATGGCGTGGCTTTTTGGTTCTCTTACTGAGGAGGCTCTCAGATCTGTCTATGGTCTCAACAACTCTCACGAAGTCTGGCTTAGTCTGGCCAACAAATACAATCGTGTCTCTGCTACTAGACGTCTTGACTTGCAACGTAAGTTACAAGGTATGTCCAAGAAAAACAAGACTATGTTGGAATATCTGAATGACGTTAAAGGTGTCTGCGACCAACTAGACTCGATAGGTTGTCATGTGTCTGAACAAGAGAAGATTTATGGGGCTCTAAATGGTTTAGGTCGTGAATATGAGTCTATATGTACTGTCATTGAGCACTCTGTTGACTCTGTTCCTGATGTTCGCTTTGAAGACATGGTGTTTAAACTTGTTAACTTTGACGACAAGTTACAAGTTTATACTGAATCTGTCACTCCCACCCCTCATCAGGCCTTTCACATGGGTCGTGGTTACTTCCACAGAGGTCGTGGTTCTTACAATAACAGAGGAAACAGAGGACGTGGTTCTGGTACTTACTCAACTCGTGGTAGGGGATTTCAGCAGCAGTTCTCTGCTTCTAATCCCACAGCCAGACCCACCTGTCAGATATGCGGTCGTTCTGGCCACACTGCTGCTCGCTGCTACAACCGGTTTGATCAGAACTTTCAGCCCCAAGACACCTCTCACAACGCGTTAAGTACTGTCAAACTGTCTGATCAGGTTCAGTTGACTGGTCAAGAATGGTATCCGGATTCAGCGGCTACTGCTCATATTACTAATGATGGATCTCAGCTGCAGTCATCTCAGGCGTATCTAGGCAATGATCAAGTCATTGTGGGAAACGGTGATCATCTTCCTATCACTCACATTGGGTCTATTCCTCTGCATACTCCACACGGTACTTTACCTCTTGCTGATGTTTTAGTCTGTCCTTCTATCACAAAGTCGTTGTTATCTGTTTCAAAGCTCACATCAGACTATCCTTGTGAATTTACGTTTGATGATGAATGTGTGATGGTTAAGGACAAGGTGACAAAGCAGGTGATCACTCAAGGTCGAAGACATAAAGACCTCTACGTTTTGAAGGATACTCGGTTTCAGGCATTCTACTCCTCTAGACAGCAAGCTGCTTGTGAAAGGATCTGGCATCAGAGGCTTGGACATGCTCACACTGATGTTCTTCATCTTCTATCTAGACTCAAGGCAATAATTTTGAATAAGGCGAGTGCCAAGACAGTTTGTGATGCTTGTCATTATGGGAAAAGTTGTAAACTTCCCTTTATTTCTTCTGAGTTTGTATCTTCTCGTCCTTTGGAACGCATACATTGTGATTTGTGGGGACCTAGTCCAGTGCTTTCTAATCAAGGATTTAAGTTCTATGTTATCTTCATTGATCATCACACTAGATTCACCTGGTTCTATCCTCTAAAGCTCAAATCCGATTTTTACTCTGTCTTTCTCTCTTTTCAAACGTTGGTAGAGAATCAATTTCAGAGTAAAATCCTTAGGTTCCAGTGTGATGGTGGAGGGGAGTTTACCAGCAAGCAGTTCACTACTCACTTGACTCATTGTGGTATTCAACAACGTCTCTCATGTCCTCACACGCCTCAGCAAAATGGACTTGCTGAGCGCAAACATCGACATCTTACTGAGCTTGGCCTCACAATGCTCTATCACTCCAAAGTTCCTCAACAATTTTGGGTAGAAGCCTTCTTTACTGCAGTGTTTTTGATCAATCTGTTGCCGTCTCCAACTCTTCCTGATCATCAGAGTCCGTTTCATCTGTTACACAAGTCTGCTCCTGTGTACACTGCTCTCCGTGTTTTTGGTTGCAAGTGTTTTCCCTCTTTGCGCCCTTATATGACCAACAAGCTTGATCCAAAGTCCTTGGCCTGTGTGTTTCTTGGTTACAATGACAAGTACAAGGGGTATCGCTGTTACTATCCTCCTACTGGACGAGTCTTCATCAGTCGTCATGTCATATTTGATGAAACATCATTTCCCTTTGCAGACATGTACGCCAGTTATCATAAGGATACAAGTTCTCCTTTGTTGAATGCTTGGAGAGCTACTCATCTCACACCTTTGTCTAATGTATCTCCAAGCCAGGAAGAAGAGGATGTTCTGTTATCTCCTGTTCAGCCTTCTGCACAGGTTGCTCCAGAAGCACAAGTTGCTCCTTCTCCGCCTGCAACTCCTCCTCCTGAAGTTCAACAGCAGGTTCATGTTATTCCTGCTGCTGATCAAGTCTTGCATCCTATGACTACTAGGGCGAGGGCTGGGATTGTTAAACCTAACCCACGTTATGCTTTATTTACCATCAAGGATGAATTCACTGAACCAAGATCGTTAAAAGAAGCTCTGCAGCATCAGGGTTGGAATGCTGCTATGGGAGTTGAAATGGCGACTTTAACTGAGACAGACACTTATGAACTGGTTCCACCTGCAGAAGATCAGAATCCTCTGGGATGTCGTTGGGTTCACAAGATTAAAAGAAATGCAGATGGTTCTGTTCAGAAGCTAAAATCCAGACTTGTGGCCAAAGGTAACGAGCAAGAAGAGGGTAGTGATTACTTGGAAACGTTTAGTCCAGTGGTACGTTCAGCTACTATACGAACAGTTCTTCATGTTGCTGTTACTAAATGCTGGTCTCTTAAACAATTAGATGTCCAGAACGCATTCCTTCATGGCGATTTGAAAGAAAGAGTGTTCATGAAACAACCGCCTGGTTTTGTTGATAAAGAAAGACCTGATTATGTTTGCAGACTTAAAAAGGCGATTTACGGTTTGAAGCAAGCTCCTAGGGCGTGGTTTGATAAGTTTAGTACCTTCCTACTCGACTTTGGCTTCAAATGCAGCTTCCCGGACCCCTCTTTGTTCATTTACCATCATGGATCAGACATCATTTATCTGCTTCTGTACGTTGATGATATGATTCTTACTGGAAACAACAATGCTCTACTTGAGAAGCTTCTTGATCATCTCAGTACTGGTTTTCGAATGAAAGACTTGGGTGCAGTTCATTACTTTCTTGGCATACAGGTTCATCATTATGATGGTGGTCTCTTTCTCAATCAGTCCAAGTATGCCACTGATTTACTTGTGACTGCAGGCATGAAGGATTGTGCTCCCATTCAAACTCCTCTTCCGCTGAAACTAGATAAGGTACCTGGTCAGGATGTCTGCTTTCCTGATCCTACTTACTTTAGGAGCTTAGCAGGCAAGCTCCAGTACCTAACGCTCACAAGGCCAGATCTTCAGTTCTCAGTAAACTACATTTGTCAGAAGATGCACATGCCTAGTCAATCCGACTTTGCTCTTCTCAAGAGGATCCTACGGTATGTGAAAGGAACTCTTGACATGGGAATTGGAATCAAAGCTCAATCAGATTCTACTTTACTCTGCTATAGTGATAGCGATTGGGCAGGGTGCAGAGAAACACGTCGTTCTACAGGAGGGTTCTGCACTCAACTTGGTTCCAATGTGATTTCGTGGTCTGCTAAACGACATGAGACTGTCTCAAAGTCTTCAACCGAGGCAGAATATCGTACAATGTCTCTTGCTGCGGGTGAGATTGTTTGGCTTCAGAACCTGCTGTCTATTATGGGGCTTCAACAACAGAGAATTCCTCTGCTTCTTTGTGATAATCTCTCTGCCGTCTGCCTCACGGCAAATCCGATGTTCCATAAACGAACCAAACATTTTGATGTTGACTACCATTATGTCCGAGAAAGAGTTGCAGCTAAAGGACTAGAGGTAAAGCACATCCCTGCTTCTCTGCAAATTGCAGATATCTTTACTAAGTCTTTGAGTCATGAAGCTTTTGCCAAGTTAAGAACCAAACTTGGTGTGTCGTTTCTCCCTACCCCAAGTTTGAGGGGGTGTATTAGCCATACCAGGCCCATGACGTTAACCCAAGAGAAGCCCACTACGGTTGGTCATGAAGCCCACACGCAGACAACGACAAAGCCTGCATCTTCAACCTCCTCTGCAGCTGGAAACACCAACACACGACGAAAGCATGATACGACCACAACGGTCTCCTTTCCAGCTCATTGTTGTGTCACCACAAATAGATTCGATATTCTCCAATCACGTGCTAGGGCGTACTAGAGATAAGCTTGTCATCTTCTAGTATAAAAGCTCCTACGCCGTTGTATCTTTCTCTCTAAGTTGAAATCAATAAAAGTAAAGTTCAGTATTTCCTCTTCAGTTTCTTGTGTTTCACATGGTCTTGTGGAGTGGCACTCTATGTTATGTTGGTAGGAGCTTACCCTTTCGAAGACCCTAAAGATCCTCGCAATTTCCGAAAAACAGTCCAGGTTTTTCTTTTTCTTTTTAGATAAAATTAAATGAGATGACAGTTTTTGATTCGTATAAACACATAGTCTTATGTTCTTTTGAATGTTGGAATTGCAGAAAATAATGGCTGTTAAGTACAAGATTCCAGGATATGTTCACATATCTGAAGATTGCAGGAACTTGTTATCTCGTATATTTGTTGCTAATCCATCACACGTAAGTACTTTTTTTGAAGTATACCTTTCTTTTTGTTATCAAGCGAAATACATATATCAGACTGTTCTAACAACGAGAAGATTGTGTTTTCATTTAAAATGTTTTGTTTGTAAAACAATTATTCTATTTTACATATTTATAGATTATAAGATATCGACTCAAATGCAAAGGCTAAATGATTTTTATTTTTCATTACGTGTATGCTTTGTAAATGAAATATTACTATAACATTTTTGAAACAAATTTGAAAGTAAATGTAAACGTAAAGAACATTTTTAGTCTTTATAAATTTTTACTCGTTATCAACTAATTATTCTTTATTTTTTTTGTTATTTTTAACTGTTATAGAGAATTACGCTCAAAGATATTAGGAGTCATGCATGGTTCCTAAAGAATTTGCCAAGAGAACTAAAGGAGTCCGCACAAGCAGTCTATTACCAAAGGAATGTTAATCTTATTAACATTTCTCCTCAAAGAGTAGAGGAGATTATGAAGATACTTGGTGAGGCAAGAACAATTCCAAACCTTCCACGCCCACTTGAATCCCTTGGAAATGATGAAAAAGACGATGTTGATGAAGAGGAAGAAGAATATTTGGATGCTAATGATGAAGAATGTGATGATGAATATCCATAGACAAAAAAGTTATTTAATGTTGTCAAATTATTAGAAGGACTTGTAATTTTATTTTTGAATTTGATTTTAAGTTATTAAGTTAAGATAACATAAAAAAAAAAAAAATCTAGCTTGAGTAACCAATCAATTATGGTTTCATATGGGTAACGTAGACCAAACAGAAATGCAGATTAAGAAGAACAAATACAGATCATGCAGATCAAACTGAACAAATGTAGTTTAAGCTAATTTAATAAATATTATATTTAAATAAATGTTAAATATTTTTAATTAAAATTAAATTTCTGAAAAATAAAATTTATTATAAATAAATAGTAAATATCAGATTGACACAAATAACAATAAATATCATCATTTTAATAAATATAGTGAAATTTAAATTATATTAGTACTCATCACAGATAAAGATTATAAAAAATCTTCGTTTGCTTTTATTTATTGTATTTTATTCAATATTTGATTCTTTTTACCATTTTTCAACTAAAAACTAATATTATCAATTCTTATAATGTTATTGTATCAACAAAATATTAATTTAAAATTTTAAAATATAAAAATGCATACATGTAAATCCACTACAAGAAAACACAAGATTAACGACAGCAAAATTCGTAGTAAGTTCGTCGTAAACTAGGTTTCACGACGAATTAGCGAGGAAACAAGTTTCGTTGATAATCGTAACGCATGTTTCCTCACCAATTCGTCGTAAACTAGCGAGGAAATAATTTCTTCGTAAAAAGGACGTAAAGCATTCGTCTTAAAATCCACGTAATCTATTCGTCGTAAATTACAAGTAAAGTATTCCACGTAAAATGGTCGTTAATGTTTACTCGTAATTTTGACGTAAAATTATTCCTCGTTACTTCGTCGTAAAGTTTCCACGTAAAGTAGTCGCAATTTAACTACGAATTTACTTTGATTTTTTATTTTCCAAAATTAAAAAAAAACACTAATTTAAAATATTAATTAAAATATAATTTAAAATAAAAATCCATACGAAAATATTTTATACATAAATAAGTTTTAAATTTATAATGCAACCAACGAAAAGAAAAAAAAACTAAGAGTCGTCCATCGCCTCCCGATAGAATTCGGGATTCCTCCTCTCTAGATCCTCCTCGTCATGTGTGCCGGATGTCTCGCCTGGAATGGGATTTTGTTGTCGGATGTTCCTCAACAAGGACTCCCATTCCGAATTTGTGGCTGCTATAACGTCCAAGAATCCCTTGAGTCTACCCATACGAACTGTAAATGCATGTTGGGTCGAGTCCAACTCGTTACGCAGCTGAGTGACCTCATCTTCCCGACTCTGACCATAAGCCGATGTCGCTCTCGGAACATCGTTGATGGAACCAATTCCTAACATACGCCTTTTTTTTCTTGGGGACAGCATTAAAACCAAAAATAAATATTGTTAATGAAAAGTTAAAGTTAAAAATTAAATGAATATTAAAAAAATTAAAAATGACCTCTTCGTAAATCCTATCCCGTTCAAGTGTGGATAAGCTGACGGGTGATCCATCGGTAGACTGCCGTGTCAGCTGAGTCTGGCGCTCTTCAACCCGACCAACTAAATCATTGAAGAGATGCTCAGACTTAGCATCTAGATATTGGCCCACCTTGTTCTTGTGGGTCTTCTCGTAAAGATCCAAAAGAGACGGGAGAACTCCTGTCTCTTTGGTCTAAATAACATTTAACAAAATTAGAAATATATATATATATATATAAAATAATTAAATTAAATATTTAATTACCATCTTCAGATGGATCCTGGCATGGGGTGTTTGACCCGAAGAGTGAAGCATCGGACCTTTGCCGTCCTCATCTACCGTTGGCGTGGATCCCACCAATAACGGATGAGGCCATCCCACACCTCCGTGGTGAGCGCATTGGGTTTGCCACGCTCATACCCCTTCACGAACCAATCACCCTTCCAGTTGCAAACTGTGCCCAACAAGCGCTTTTGCGTCTTCGAGTTAAACTGGTTCTTCACCCTTTCATTGACCCCTATGGACCAATGGTATTTTTGCTGTAACAGAAAAAAATAAATTAAGAATTAGTTTTACAAAATTCAAATCATAAAAAATTAAATTATATATAATTACTTAATAGTAACTTACATCAAACATATTGAATCACGTCTTTTTGACGTAAAGCAGCGTCGTTTTCCAGTTCGGATGTGGACCGGGAAAGTAACCTTTGATTGTTTCCGTTACGCTCCAAGAAAGACATCCGTCAACCTCAAACCTGAAAATAACAAATTTAAAGTACGAATTATTTATTAGTGTTAGAAAAGAATTTAAAAACAAAAATTTTAAAAGATGTAACGTACCACAAAGTTCCATCCGGTCGGTCGGGATCCATGACTGGTAAACCTTCTCTGCCTGGCTGAGCGAGAAAGTCCTCAACAGTGTACTGTGAGTAAGGAGCACTCGGCGGCACCAGAAAATCAGGATGAATCCCGGCCGGAGGAGGCATCGGAGGAGGCACGGGAGGAGGCACATGAGGAGGCGCCAATGGAGGAGCCATCGAAGAAGGCATCGGAGGTGCACCAGAAGACTGAGTCTCGGGGACAGTCTCCGCTGGACCCGAAGAACCGGGAGCTGAAGAAGACGGGTCTAAACGACTACCAGGCTCACCGAACATCGCTCTTTAATGGAGAGTAAGTTTGTTCTTCCGAATATGGAAAAAAATTAATTTTTAAAATAAAGCTCATTAGTAATTAACAAATTCTACATTAACCACCTAATCAACACTAATTAACATAAAATCCTTAAACCTATCTAAATTCCCTACACTAACCACCTAATCTACCCTAAACTAATCAAATTAGAGAGGAAATAGAGAGAACATACCATTGTTTCGACCAAGAGAAGTTATGGGGACGAAATGGAAGTGATCTGGTCGCATGTATATATATAGAAATTAGTGGGCCTCGTAATTTCCTCGTAAGTTTAAGATGAAATAGAAAGGCCCACGTTTTTATTTACGACGAAATAGAAAGGCCCGTGTTTTTATTTACGTCGACTTTACGATAAATTCTACTTATGGACATTACGATGAATTCTGCTTACGTGGAATTAACGAATCCCACGTTTTTGTATTACGTCGACTTTGCGACGAATTATGCTTACGTGGAATTAGAGAGTCCCGCGTTTTTCCCATTACGTCGATTTTACGATGAATTATGCTTACGTGGAATTAACGGGTCCCGGGCTTTTTATTTTTAATTTTCGTCATAAGTTTCTTGTTATATTACGAGGAAATAACGAGGATTATGTTTAAATCTCTAAATCTAAAACCCGAAACCCCAAACCTCATCTTTCTTTATCTTTCACCTCATATATTCCATCTTCTACTTTAATCTCTTCTTTCCATTTCAAACCCCAAATTATAAAACCACAATTCCTTAAATTTTAATCCCAATCTCTTCTTACGAATTCAAATTAAACCCCCCCCCCATTACTTTACACAAAATCAAATTATATAAATAGATTTTCATGATTAAATCATATCCATTAAGTCTGAAAACAAATACATCAATCTGATACATCGACATTCTCATCATCACTAGAAGCATCATCATTTTCATTAAAACCGTCATCAACAGCTTCATCCGTGGCATCATCGGTAAGATCTTCGTACTCATGATTATGCAGATCAATGAGAAGGATGTCATCTATTTGTTGTTCAGGTTCCTCGACTTAATTTATCTGTTCTTCTTGCAATGGTGTTCTTCTCCACTGATGATTCGTCCACGAGGTGTGACTTTGATCACGGCTAACCCAATTATTCTCGATTCTATCATCCGAGGGTATGAAAGGAAGCTAACTTGGTATGCTTGTGAAGCTAAGATGAAAGGCTCGAATTTGTTGTACCTGCAAAGATAAAGAAAACATAGAAATTAATCATTCAGATCATGTATGCCAAAAAAAAAAAATTTGTTGTACCTTCGTCCATCATTGACATCAACTACACCAAATTTGTTAAACCGAACACCTCTGTTGACGACGGGGTCGAACCACTCACGTTTGAAGAGGACGCATTTCAGCTTCGATAATCCTAAGAATTCCACTTCAATAATTTCCTTCAGGATCCCGTAGAAATTTGTTTCGCCTTTCCCACATATTCCATAGTTACTGGTCGCCCGCTGTCTACCATACTCATATGTGTGAAAAATATAGTCTCGTGTGAAATACCTCTGTGATGTGGTGACCTTTGCAAGTGGAGCTCGAATTACTTCATAAACCACTTATCGCAACCTGCATCGTCTTCATAATCAACCTGCAAAAATAAAGAGATCGTTGAAATACAGATCATCATGTATGAAAAAAACTTTGATCGATCAACCTGCAAAAACTAAGAGTTTTAGTTAATACCTTCTTCTTCAACCGCTTAATAAAGTGTTGATCTTTCTTTCTGTCTACGTCACTTGTGGATATACTTGGGAATGTTTCTTCGACTTGAGAAACAAATAAGCTGTAAAATCACATTTTATATTAATTAATCTTTCTAAATTATATAATTTACATATATGTGAGAAGTTTCTTCCGTCAAACTTTCAGCAATTATATCTAAACTTCCAGCAATTATATCCAAATTATATAATTTACATATATGTGAGAAGTTTCTTCCGTCAAACTTCCACTACCATCATCATATCTTCTTGGAGCTTTTTTTCGGGTACGTACTTTTGAAAGTAGTACGATGAGAAGTGAGAAGTTTCTTCTGTCAAACTTCCACAAATTATAGAATCTTCAACTTTTGTGAGGTTTTTTGCTTTTCCCTTCAAATATTTCATGGCTTGCTCATACTGATACATCCATCCGTAATGTACAGGTCCACAAAGCAATGCCTCATATGGAAGGTGGACAGCTAGATGCTCCATGACATAAAAAAATGCCGGAGGAAATATCTTCGCCAAGTTGCACAATAAGATGGGAATGTTTTCCTGAATTTGTTCCACGACTTCTTCTTTAAGAGTGCGTGTGCTCAGATCCCTGAAAAATTCTCCAATGCCTTGTATATTCCAAATACAATTAAACACATCAGTAGTCATATAGATTATTACAAACTAAACCATT